TTAATTTTCCTTATCTCCATAATTGCTTTCTCTCCCCAGACGCTCAATATGTGCATACAATATATCCATAGGTGTGGTGTAGGAACGTGTAGGAATGAATCAAGAGTTGGGGGGCTCAACATTAAAAAGCATGTAAACATGGGGGGGGGGCTAGGCCACTCCTGCTGAAATGTTGGGGAAGCTTCAGCCCCCCTAGCCCTCCTTCCTATGCCTATAATATCTTTTGTCTTTGTTTAACAAGATGTCACAGAATTACCTCTGATCTATAGTCTAGCTGAAATAGAGTGTCTGTCTTCAGTTGAAGTTATTGAAAGAGTGCATGACTGCCTTAACAGAAGTAGCTGCTATAGAACTCAACAACTTAATTCTCTCTCATTTTCAGTCGACTTTTATCTTTTTGTACTACTTTTCTTTTCTTAGAGATTCCTTTTTTTTTCCGCCTTCCTCTCCCGTTTGCTTTTCCTCTCTCTCACTTTTCCTAGCTTTTTACTCTTCTTTATCCTCTCAGGGTCTCTTTTTTGTTTTTAGCCTTTTCAGTCTCCTTATCCTTCTTCATCTCTTTCTCTTTCTTGTCTTTTCCTCTCCTCCACTCTCCTTTTGGTCCAGCTCTTGAGCACATGGTTTCATTGGTTTGTGGTTTGCACTGAGTGATTAATATTCTGATGATATCGAAAATCAGATTCTAACATCCTATAAACAGAAAACATGCATATCTATATGTGACCATAATTGACAAAAGGTACCTTATGGCGGGTAGTGAAATTTGTCTTTCTAGCCTAAGAAATCCAACTTCCTGAGCCCCATTTATCATAAAATTACTCCACAGGATGCAAAAAGTTACCATGAAACTTTTAGAAACAATGATTGTCTAACAAAGCACTCACAGGTTGATATTTTCCATTATAACGATTAATTTTAAAATCCGCCATAGGGGCCCTTTTGTCAATTATGGTCACATATACATGTAATCATATTATATGTACATGTAAGATCATACACAGGAGTATAGTTTTAAATCTACATCTACTACACTACATGTAATTTTAGTAGTTTAATAATAATAAAATTAATTGCCCAGTTCTTACCTTTAACTAATAGCTCCGGCCCGAATTTAGTGAATTAGCCCATAGCCCGATCACCCAATAGATAATATGATCACACCCACACCATTCTTGTTTTGGTTGAGTGTCAGTGAGTGATTGCAAAAAAATCAGTAATGTCTGGACAAAGTTAGTTTCTTTCATTCTCTCTTACATCCTTTTTCTTTTATTTTCTTTCCTTTACAGGCATTTATCAGTTTAAAGCTAGGGCTAATCACTCAGCTCCAGTAATAGGAGGGTCACTCTACCTGTGGGGAGGGGACCAGCCTGATTTACCTGAAGTACACGATTCACCTCAAAAGAGGAAACTGACCTCAACAGTTGAGACATTTTCCTTTTCATCAGCTCGCTGGTCCTCTCACCTAACAAGAGGCACTCCTCCATTAGGAGTTAATGGCTACTCCTGTACCACCTTTCGTTCTAATATTTATTATTATGCTGGCTGGTGTGGTCATGATAATTGTTTCTACAACAGTTTAAATGTCCTAAATACACTGACCATGAGCTGGACTCAATTGCATCCTAATGATGAGTCCAGGATGAAGAAAGCCTCTGTTGGAATGCTATCAATGGAATTTGAAGGAACTGACTATCTTTTTATGGTCGGAGGGTTAGGTACTACACCAGCTGTCAAACATCCTCAGTTTCAATATGATCAGCTTAAGGATCGACGTGTTCTCACTAATGAACAGTTACTTTATAATCTATCCAATGGTGAGTGTCTTTTTATATATAGGTTAAATCAAGTTTGGAGATGTCCACACTAAGTGGAACCAGAGGGCAAAGCCCAATTAGTGTGGACAGCTCCAAACATGGTTAACTGATTTAAACTAACCATGAAATTACTGAAATAGTTATTGTAAATGTAATGTCCCCTACTATCTGCAGATGTCACATGTATTGGCTTTTGTTATGATAGTGACAAATACTGACAATGTGGTATCAAAACACTGTACAAGATGATTTATTGGCGAGAATAATATTTGGCAATTTTGCTCGTGGAAAGTTAATTGGTGAATTTTATATTGATGATTTTGTGCCATGTGCCATTGAGCATGCACAGATTAAAACAAAATGGCAGATTTTATATTGGTGATTTCTTTATAGAACCCGGCACCAAATTGGCGCCAATTGCCAATATTAATTCCTCGCCAATAAATCATCTAGTCTGGTAGCATGCTCCATGCTATTTGGAATTCTTATTAGTGGCTACAGCATCAAAAAAAATTATGCATGGTTAGTTTAATTATATAAAAGTTAATTATTATTTAATTATTATTAATTATTATTATTAATTATTAATTATTAATTATTAATTAGTAATAATAATTAATTATTATAAATTGATTATTTTAGGACAATTCACTATTCCATCTGTCACTGGACAGTGTTGTTTACCAACTAGCGAATTCACAATCAACAAAATTAGTCAAAATAAAGGAATATTGTTTGGGGGTGCAGTAACTAATGATGGTCTTGCTACAACTACTAATAAGGTGTACATATTTAACGTGACACATAATACAATAGTAAGTTTACTTGTTAGTATTCCCAATAAAATAATCTAAATCACTTGTTTTACCTTATATGGTATTATGTCTATGTTCTGTTAGCATTGGGAGAGTCTTAAAAAAGGATCAATATCTGGTGAGGGACTCTGGCCTAAGGAGAGATATAATCATGCTAGTGCTATCATCAATGGTGACTCTACCTCACCTGCACTAGTAGTGATTGGTGGACTGGGTAATAAGAATCAACTAATGAATGAATGTTTATTATTTGATGATATCACTACTGGTCAGTTCAGTTGTAAGAAGGTATGTGTACATGTATATGTGCCCATGTATGCATGCATAATTATACATGTACCGGTAAAAGTATTATATCAGTAAAATTTCTCATTGTCTACAGATTCCTCTACCTGAATCTGTTACTGGTAGATACTTTCATTCACTCACAGCAGTCACAATGTCACCACACTGTGTATGGCTAGTGATTGTTGGAGGATGTGAAGAGCTTCTATGGAAAGATGTTGGAGGAGGAGTGGAGAAGCCGATGCATACATTTATCACTGATACTAATAGACTAACAATGATATATGAATTAAGTAAAATAAGTATTAAAATTACATTATAGTTACCAACTTCTTTTATAATATTATTTGTCCTTATCTCAGTTTATATTGAAGCTGGTGAGTGGATAGTACAGTCAGTACTGGATGGTAATGATCTCACTAGTAAGAAATATCAAGAAAAGTATTCATCATACAGCAAGACCAGAACATGGTGGATGGATCAGCTAATAGAATATCCCACAGAGAAGGAAATGAAGCTTCAGAGATACATCCAGTCTTTACATCAAGAACTACAAGTGGCTCATCAGAACAAAGTATCACTACAGGAGGCACTGACTGAGACCAATAAACAAGGTATACATGTACATATGTACAGAAATACTTCTTCAAAAAGTTTGGCTAGTAAATCTATTAACAATGATAGACCATGTTCACTATAAATTTGTCAAACTATTACTATACCAAATTTTTAGCTACATATATGGCAGACTGAATGAAACTGGCTAGTTTTATACAATCATTTTTGTTATCCTATTAGCCGACAAATTTCATGATAATGAAACTGTAAAGAGTGAGAAATTGGAAGAAGTATTAAAAGTACAGGCACAGTTACAAGAGAAACAGATTATTACTGGTTAGTGTGTCATCAGTACATAATATTAGATGAGTCTATTAATGTAGAAGATAATGAGAAACTGAAAGCTAAAGTTGCTGATTATGAAATATATATAACTGAAATAGAAGAAGAGAAGAAACGAGTAGAAGAAGAGAAGAAACTTATCGAGGAAGCGAAGGGAAAAGTAGAGGAACAATATCTCAAAGAGAAACAGATCACTAAAGGTTAGAGTATTGTCATCATTGTGTATATATGAGAGAATACATGTATTTAGAACTGAAAACTAAAGTTGCTGATAATGAATTGTATACTGCTAAACTAATGAAGGAGAGGGAGCAATGGAGTCAAATCAAAGAGACTAGTACCATTGGATTACACCTGATCCCTTCAATGGGTAAGAGTATTATTGACTGACTGAGTGACTGTATTTTATACAATTGATAGATAATTTGGATTGTCTGAGTGATGTCCAGGTAGCAGAGAAGAAGCTGTTCTTAATTCAAGGAGACAAACCTCAACTGATGAATTGGGAGAAATATGGTCTAAGGATTGGAGTACAAGAAGGAAGCCTATTATCCTCTGAGACAGTAGAAGCAGCAGTGGTTGCTCTTGTAGGAGGAGAGTTCGAGTTTCCTGCTAATACTGTGCTAGTGAGTGCTGTGTATGCAGTATCACTCTCAAAGCCTCTCCTCAAACGACTCAAGTTAGAGATACAGCACTGCGTTGATTTAACAGGACGACCAGGTCTTAGTCGTTATCTGAAGTTTGCTATAGCTCCCGTCAACACACCCAGTCTTCCTTACCACTTCTCAGTAGTTGAGGGAGGAGAGTTTAGGTCTAATAGTGGGTATGGATCCATTCAACGTAAAAAGTTCTGTTTGGTTTGTATACTGGGAGAAGATTGGACTAATGAAGATTCAGATTCAGAAGATGATGAAAATGGGAGCAATGATGATTCTTCTAGTCATTCATCAGATTCATCCAGTGGATCAGACAAGACAGGTGGTCCACCAGGAGCTAGCAATGGAGCAGCAAATGGTCAGTATACATGTACATGTGTAGTATGTTTACTTATAAAATGTACTTATAGAATCTAATCAAGAGGAGGAGGAGGAAGATGAAGGAGATCAGGAATTAGGTGACAAAATTGAAGCAGTTACTGAAGGAGCAGCAACACCTCTCACTGTATTTGACAGTAAGAATGAATCAGACCCTTCAACCACTGATAGTAAGTACATGTAAATAAGTCGTCCAAGAAAAATTAATAATTTCAAAATAGAATTCAAAGGTGTAGGAAAGGGTATAACATACACTGGAATGCTTTATTATGAAAAAGACGGAGTAGAAGATTTGGTTACCTTCACTGCAGCTAAGAAACTAAATGCTCTCATTAAGGTACATGTGCTTGCCAATGGACTTGTAATGAATGATTGTAATGAAACTGATTTTTAATGATAGTACATCACAAAAAAGCATTCTCATGCTAAGACAGGACAGCATGCTTATTTTCGTTTTCAAGATAAAGATGGATACATTGAATTAAAGTTTGATGCTCCACAAGATGAGCCTATCACTGGATGGGATATTAGGCCTCACATCAAACCATGCAGGGTAAGTACCACTTCATTAACTGATGCTCTATACTTTAATAGTTGTATCGTTGTGATGTTAACAATTTTGGTAGCAAAGAGTATCCTCTTCCTCCATCTTGTCTGATATCAGTGTATGGATCACCTGATGCTGTCCCTACACTACATTACTCCATACCACTGGAAGGTGTGGCTGGTCCTGTTTCATTTTATATTCATCGATCACTGAGAACTGCTCCTCCTTTAACAGGTAATAGATACAAATGATTTAAAATTGTTTATTTATTTAATATTAATCAGATTCTACTATCTCCTCCTCCTCCTCTAATGTAGTACATGAATCAGCGTCAGTATCATCCACTGGAAAAGCTAGTAAGTGATAACGCTGTGTGTATATTATACTGACCTTTAACCTCTATTAGGTCCATCAGCTACTGTTGATGTCAATAAAGTAAAGAAAGTGATCAATGATGTTCTTGTATCTCATTATGCTGATCTTACTTCTCTACCAATGGAAGCTGTCTCTGATCTTGCCAATAAACTATTTACTCTTCATTTGGTCAATAATGCTGTCAGAGGGAATCCTTCAATAGAGAAGTTTATTGATGAGTTCAAGGCTGGTCTTATTTTTCAGAGGAAGTTACCTCAAGTGGAGGAGCACTGTCAAAAGTTTTTAAACTCGTTCATTGCTGTTAGTGGCAGTTATGCTTATGCAGCAATAGCTCTGCACCAGGACTGGATTGAAGCTATTAGTAATGAACTGGGGTTTGATTTTAATGTTGATATTGATAATTAGTTTTGTATTTATTTCATTTTGTTTATTTTTAATAATTATTTTTGAGCTCAAGACTAACTGTGAGTTACCATTGACATTCTCCTCTTTTTTATGTTCCTGAAAACTCAGAAAATAAGTTTTTAGCTCGGTTTTTAGAAAGGAATCAACAAGGGGTGTGCTGGTTTGCTCGAGGGTTTGCAGGTTTGGCAGTTTTACTTAGTGCGCATGCTCAATAGCTAGCTAGCTAGCTAGATCTAGTTGTTTAGACCACACCTTTTTGTTTACTAATGTTTACAGTCACCACTCACCACAAAATTTAATGTCAGGACAAAGTTAGTTCCTTTCCCTCTCTTTCTCAGTTACTCTTTTCCTTTAATTTTTTCCTTTACAGGTATTTATAAGTTCAAAGGTAGGACTGAACACTCAGCTCCAGTAATAGGAGGATCACTCTACCTGTGGGCAGGGAATCAGCCTGGTTTACCTGGAGTACACGATTCACCTCAAAAGAGGAAACTGACCTCAACAGTTGAGACATTTTCCTTTTCATCAGCTCGCTGGTCCTCTCACCTAACAAGAGGCACTCCTCCATTAGGAGTGGTGGGCTATTCCTGTACCACCTTTCATTCTAATATTTATTATTATGCTGGCTGGTGTGGTCATGATCATTGTTACCACAACAGTTTAAATGTACTAAATACACTGACCATGAGCTGGACTCAATTGCATCCTAATGATGAGTCTATGATGAAGAAAGGCTATGGTGGAATGCTATCACTGGAATTTGAAGGAACGGACTATCTTTTTATGGTTGGAGGGAGAGGTACTGCACCAGCTGTCAAACATCGTCAGTTTCAATATGATCAGCTTAAGAGTGGACGTGTTCAAACTAATGAACAGTTACTTTATAATCTATCTAATGGTGAGTTTCTTTTTGTCAATTATATCCTAGTGATGACGTACTTCAAAGGTACCGCGTGCACTATAGATCATCAAGACCACAGCAGTGATCTAAGCCACCCACAACAATGCTTTAACCCACCCACAATAATGTTATAAGCCACCCACAATTTAATCAAAGATTTCTTTATTATTTTGATAAAAAAACAATTATAATTTTTTATGGTCTTGATGGACTGGTACAGGATTACCGATTACATGAAGAGGGCTGTAAAAAATCCATTGATTGGAAAACCTCTTATAAAGGTCATCATTCCAAGGAGCCATGCCAGCCCTGATGATGTATTGTGTATTGCTTTCTCGTTTGGATCAGCATCTTTGAATGGGTGTACAATTATTATGTATCCATCCAGTGTTTCGTCCTCTAATGCCGCTTGTATCTCTCCTTCTAGCTCTGGCACTGTTTCCGTCACTTTTCAGGCACAGTTTCCACATCTTTATCATCTCATATCTTACTTCTTCTCAATCTCTTGCTCACAGGCTCCCAATGAGGAGCTTCAGCCATTATTATTCAATGTCCAGCATGTGGTAAATCTGTGCATGCGTGTGCGCAGAGCCTTTGATGTGCGTCATCATGACATAAGCAACTTATAACATGGCTAGTTTGTAATGTACATATCTAATTTACAGTCACCTCCCCCTCGGGTACACGCGCCCTCGGGATTGGTGACTCTAAATTAGATACATCACTCCTAGCCATGTTATCAGTATTACTTGTGTGAATACGTCTTGAGGTGTGACAATTGATGACATTATCTATTTATTGTATTTTTAGGACAATTCACTGTTCCATCTGTCAGTGGACAGTGTTGCCCGCCAACTAGTAGTTTTACAGTAAACAAAATAAATCAAAACAAAGGAATAATGTTAGGAGGACTAGTAACTGATTATGACGGTTTTTCTTTTCCTACTAATAATGTGTACATATTTAATGTGACACATAATACAATAGTAAGTTATCATGTACAGTACATTTTTTATAACCTAGGTATCAGCTTTATTACCAAGCGCTAGCGCTTGGTATGTAGGGTTGAGTTGGACGAGCGCGCCCCCATAATGGCTGCCATCCCAGAAGCATTGAGCCTGTGTAAATCTTCAGGAATTCTTTATAGCTTATCTGACAGTCAAGATTTCCTTTATAATTTTATTGAAACAGGTTAGTGTTATAAAAGTAGCTAAAAACTTCCACAAGATAGTTTTACGGCAATGAATGCATGCATGCCTGCATGCACCAAATGTTCAGGTTTCTCCTTCTTCTTCTTCTTCTTCCACAGTTAAGGAAGAACTAGTCCTACAGTTTTTATCCTAGAAAGATAATTTTTGCACGATTCTGTTGCGCTTAAGGGACGCTAGTGCAGTGTGGTTTGGCATTTTGATTCTACAAAATGATTTCTTGTCGTTATTTTCAAGTACACAGTTGATTCACCAAGTGGTTGGACGCCATTTTGATGCAGCCAACTGCGCATGCTCAGTAATAATTATTATAATGGCTGGAACTGGAAGAGCCTTTTACAATTACTGACGGTACTTACTGACTGATTTGTGATGAGATTAAGATGATGTGCGTGCCTAAAGACACGACTATCTACTGACACCACTCGCTTCAAGTGAGAGAAATTATTCTAAATAAACATCAATAATTTTATTCTTTAGTTACTATGACTACACTGACTTCTGTGTTTATGATTTATGTACCTCGTTTTACTTAATCTCTTCTAGTAAAGGTAAGT